TTGCCCGGTAACTCATGAAATGAGTAAAACATTAGCTGAATGTCTGAAAGCTGTTGTTAGTGTAATTGACAAGCAGTACAAGCGACAGTTCAACATGAGTTCTAATGATCAAATTATGAACCAGACTAAATCAGCAAGGCTTGACAACATTGACTCAGAAGAACTTATGAGTATGTTTAGTACTGCAAACCAAAATGCTCCAAATGCCACGCTTTGTTTTCTTTCTTCAAAACTTCGTGCTTGTAAAAATAAAACAACTGCTCTACTCTCCAAAAAGCCTACTGATATTCAAAACAAAATATTATGTTCCATTTCTTATGCCAGAAAAACTCGATTTGCAAATGCACAATGTCATAAAGAAATGATGTCAGAACATTTAAAATGTATGGCTGACAAAATTCAAAATGAAAAGGTCAAAGAACAGAGAAAAATAAAAAACATTTAAAAAAATTGTATGCGTAATCAGATAAAAGAAATATTTCCTGACCTAGAAAATAATGAGACTTCTAATATTCAAGAAATTCTTATTGGAGCTGCTATTGGAAGATGTATTTGCCACTTGTGGTTTGATAATACCACTAACAGCCAAGATGTATATTATGGCAGACTTCTTAGCATTAAAAAGAAGAATAGTGCTATATACATAGTTTCTTATTGGAAACCAAATGTGAATGAGGATGATGATGCTGTTGAATATGAAATGAGCAAATACCAACTATCTGCAGACATCATTAGTGGTAATATGGTAATATCATAAAAAAATGATGTGCAAAATGATTATAATAAGGTATGTGTTATTGTAAATCATAATATGGTTTATATACTTTCATTATTAATTTTCATTTATAGATATTAGGTAAGTGTCTTGGTTAGCAATATTAGTTCAATGCTTAATGTGTATATTAAGTCGCCTCACCCTCTTTTTTTTGTTGATGTTGATAAGATTATGAATTTAAAGATTTATAATTCATACATTATTATTTTAATGTATCAGATGTTATTTTAGGTAGTCGGATCGTTACTGACATCCAACAACCAGGGTTGACTTAGCTGCAACATGCATGTTAAGTTATTTTAATTTATTTTTAACCTGAAACAAAAACCTTTAATTTTTAATAGGTTTTTTTAATAATTATTTTAAATATCTGATGCATTTTATCTATCATTGCTAGGTTTTAACTCGCAGCATGAAAACTGAAAAATACACTATTGCTTCTATGGATCTTCCATAGAAGAAGTCAAGAAAGAGGTTAATTTATACTTATAGAATAAATTATGCAGTAATAACATATTTATAACATTAGATATTAATTTATTTTTCAGGACATATGTCTTCTCTATTAATAATGCTATATATTTATTTAAAAATCTATTTTTTTTTTTTAGATATTCTTGAAGGATCGACTTTTTCTATCTTTGGATGTCAATGATAGATTTGCTTCAAAACTAGAATATTTTCATAGCCACATTTCTGTTAAAAACATTAATAAGCATATGAAAACATTTAATTTAGTTTAAATTTTATATCACAAGAATATTTTAAAACAAATAAATCTGTTTACCTTCTAGAAGGCTATGTACATATATATTAACGCAACAAATAAACTACGCGTTTTAATATCTAAGCCTAATAATATATAAGCCTAATAATATATAAGCCTAATAATATATAAGCCTAATAATATATAATAATATATAAGCCTAATAATATATAATAATATATAAGCCTAATAATATATAAGCCTAATAATATATAAGCCTAATAATATATAAGCCTAATAATATATAAGCTTTTATATATGTAAAGTAAAGTGTAATATAATAAGTAATATCTTTAAAAAAAAGTTATAAAATAAATAAATTTATGAATAAAATTTTTAATCATATAAAAATTGATTTATTTTATTATTATTTATAATTTTTTAATTCATTAATAAAAATAATTTTTTTAATTAAGCAATATTATTTTTTTTCTGTTATGAGTTGAAAAAAAAAAAAATCAAGGCAAAGTAATGAGACTAAACAACGAAGTTCTATTATAAAACTACCGTAAGCCGAATGCTAATTTTTTAAGTTGGTTGCAGTTTTTTCCTTATAATGAATTTTTGTCACTTAAATGGGCATAACTTTTAGTAGAATCATTCATTTTTTATGAAGTTTTTACCATTGATTGAAATAACTTTTTACCATTGATTGGGCATAACTTTTAGTTTTTGAAATAACTTTTTACCATTGATTGGGCATAACTTTTAGTAGAATCATTCATTTTTTATGAAATTTTTACCATTGAATTTTTACCACTGATTCAACAATGATGTATAATAATTAAATATTTGTATAGTTTAAAATTTTTGCACACATACCTATAATATTCACTTTTTGTATCATAATTGGAAAAGCATGGAGCTGCACAAATTCCTTCATTACATTCTACACATTCATATCTTTAATTTTTTATTTTGTGTTTGTAACATACTACTCACTTTCTTTGAGCATTATTCTTTTATTATTATTTTTAATAATTATTCATCAAATATATCTTTTCATTACTGATTCGACAAATGTATAATTTTCTATCTTTTTGTGAGTAAATATTTACTTTTTGATAACAATTTTTGTACTAAAAAAAAAAAAAAATTTATCATTTTTAAAATTAAAGTGAACGCATGTAAAAGTGAATTATTGAAACAAAAGTTCTGTAATCATGTAGTAATAAATTTTGTGACAAGTAGACAAATAATTACTGATGAACAAGAAAGAAATATAAGGAGAAGCATAAAACCGTAATATTACAGCATGGACATTTGGAAACCACTTTCAGTTAGCATAATATTATGTAGGCAAGTAGCGACTGGGGCATTTGCCCCCCAATAATTTTCAAAGTAAATAATTTTGAAGAAATTGACTGAAAAAATGACTTAAAAAAAAAACTGCCTTAAAACTATTTTGGGGAAGTACTGCCCCCTCAATATAATTTTTGTTCCTACGGGCCTGTTACGGCAAGACCACTTTGAGTTTGCGTAATATTACTGTTTACAAGTTAAATAAGAATAAATAAAAAATTCGATTCAAGATTTTTTGGTTAAAATATTTTTAGAAGCTTATATTATGTGTAAACAATATATAAGATATAAATAGATATGCCTATATAGCTAATTTTTGCAAGTATATTAAGTAAATTTAACAGTTGAGTAACTGTAAGTTACTGTAGTAATTTAACTGGCTGTTTTGATTTAGTTTATAGGTAAATTTGCTGTGAAGTACTTTAATCATTCAGTAAATCAAATTAAATATAACTTTAAAGCAATATTCCATGCAGAGATTTAAAGTAATTTAAATTCAAAAGCGCTTTATGTTGAATAAAATCTCCACGCAAGAGAGCAAAACAAATACTTCAATTCAAAAACTAAATTTAGTGTGACGTACTATATGACCTTTATGAATAAAAAAAACAAAACTTTACTTTTTAAGAATGGCCACAAAATAACTTAGAAAAGAAAAAAAATTAACAAAAAAGAAAAAATAATACTTTTTTAAAATAAAAACTAATCGCGAAAATGTGAAAAGCAATAGCGATTGTGAGACACTTAATTCTAGCCCAATATAATGAGTTTAATTTAAATGAGAGCATAAAGATTCATTCAAACCTGAAAATGTTCAAATTTTTTGATTCAAACATTTTCAGATTTCAAACAAGGACTATTATATGTCATATAGTTTTAGACTTCAAGTTCAAGGACATTGGCCTAAATTTCTTGGACTTCATGCTCAAGGACGAATATGCATTTAAAGATTTCCAAGATTTAAGTTAACTAATGTAATTTTAAGATTAAAATTACATTAGCTGTTTTGCCTTTATTAAAAAAAAATACCATAATCTGCTTATAATTTTAGATAAATTAAAAATTTCATTCTTAGATTACACAGTATCAGCAGACATAAAGATTTTGCTTCAATTGGTTGGAAAACAAACAGCAAAATCAAAGCACCCATGTCTGTTTTGAATGATCTCATGTTTCAACTTTCAAAAAGCTGATCATTATTCTTTAGAATTTTTGTGCAGATTGTACGAACAACCCTTGTTGTACCTTCAAAGGAATCGTAGCCCTAGAGGCTACGATTCCTTTGAAGGTACACAAAGTTAAGCAACATATTATCAAATTCATCAACATAAAAGGTGGAGTCATAAATTATGCCACAAAATTTATTTATCTGATAGTATAATTATAGTAATATTTATTATCACAGTATTACAACAGTTATAAAACGTGCATAAATAATCACAGTATTTCAACAGTTATAAAACTTGCATAAATTATGAAAATTGTTCATTAAACAGACTAGAATTTATTTTGTACATTTTATATTCTGTGGGCATATGTTACTGAACCGAACAAGCTCTTAAATATATGCATCTAGATTTCAATCAGTTTGGTAAATGAAAATAATTAGAGACTATACTGAAGCGCTAAAAAACACAGTTGTTGCTTACAACTGCAAACGCTTAAACTACTTAAACGTTTTTTTATCCCATTTGCTAGTATAGCTCTTCATTTGACACTAGTATTAAAATACTAGAAATTTAATTATGCCATAAGGCTCATAGTTACCAATTTTGGACAACAAAATTACTGGGTAATTTCCTAAAATATGTGATTTTTCCCTAGATTAAAAAACCTGTTTTTTATGTAGTTTTCTGAAGATAAACAAAAAAAAAAAAAAGAATTCTGCAGATTTGTTGCAAGATCTTAGAGCATGTTTCTAGTGTGTGATCATTGATGATGTCATACTGAAATTATATGCGTATTTGAAATATTTTTTTGCCTATAAAAGGTCCTGAAATAAAAGGTCTGCATTTAAAAAATCAAAATCCAATTCTTAATTCTTAACAAACATACAAAAAAACAAGAATATGCTGAAACAAATTTGACACTTGTGTAATATAATGTAATGTAAACATAAGATGTAGATGTTAACTACAGAACAAAAATTATTGTTACCAATGTTATCTTTTTCTTTGCATGATATTGAGTAACAACATATTTCACGATCCTGGATTGAGCCCAAGTTTCTTAACAAAAAAAATCAACAACAACAAAATAAAAACAACATTGTAAAAAAAAAAAAATTAATAATAAAAATGAAAAAACTTACAATTTATCTATAAGTTCCTTATCTGTGTAAGCATTAGGTAAATCTCTTTTATTCCCTAGAACTAAAACCTAAAACAGACTCTAAATTAACAATATATTAGTCTTTTAAACACCTGTATTTTTTCTTTTTATAAATCTTTATAATAGAAAAAAACATTAAATAATTTTTTAGCTGCCCATGTAACTCAATAGACATCAAATCGCATGAGTTCACCTCTTCATGCCTAAGCTTTGCCAGAACAAATCTGGATTTTTCTATACAAAGCTATAGAAATAAATTTAAAAATTGCTGCAAATTTCACCACAGTAAATTGCTCTTTTATAGCATAAAAATAAACACCCACATTTAATTAAGGAAAATTGCATGATAAATTTTCATATTAACATAATGTTATATTGATTAAAAATTTACATGATAATATTAATGTAAGGTCAATTTAGAATTAGAATGCACCTGAGTTTGAATGAACAATTTATTTATAAGTTAAAAAAATTGTACATACTCCTTCCAACAGCTTTCTTATATGCAGATTAGAATTAAGAAAAGATTTTTAGGCTTTTTAAACTTAAGAAAAGCTGGACATTAATCTTCTTGGTGGATGACAAATTTTAATTTAACCAATCATAGAAGAGTTTTACTTACTGGAATTCCATTCAGCTGCGGTTTTTCAAGCAAACCTAACAATTCATTTTTTGCAGCATCTATCTTCTCATGATCTGCTGCATCAACCATGTATCTAGAGAAAATAACAAGTAACTAGAAATTGTTAAAAATAATTACTAAGTAATTTTTAATATGTAATAAGTTAATAATGAATTAGGTACATATAAGAATTCATTAAACATTTTAATTAACTTGATAATTAACTATCTAAAAATTACAATTTTAAGCAAATTATTAAAAAATAAAAATTAAAACTAAAAATTCAACACTCAAGATAAAGATTACACTTAAGTAAAACATTTTTTTTTAAATTTTATTTAAGAAATAAATCCTAAAGTAAGCCTTCTTCAAAAGTGTTATGATTTTATATATACTAAAATAATTTAAATATTTTGTTACTTACACAATACAATTGACACCTCTACAATATCTCTCCCACATACTTCTAAACCTTGGCTGACCTCCAATATCCCATAACTAAATGTAACCAAAATTATTTCAAGGTATTAACATAAAATAGAATAAAATTCCTTAAAAAATTCCTTTTTGCCATGATCAATTTTTTTTATGGCTCATATGCTCTTCATGTCTCATATTACTTTTCTAATAACAAGTCCCATACAAGTCATCACAAAACCACTAACCCCTCTCCCTTATTCTAGAGTGTTACATAATTTATAGATGACTTCTTAATAGTCTGTATAAACTTAAAATAACTACTTTATTATGTAATTTAACAATTGATTTTATATATTTGATTTAAACTTTACCATGTTTTTATTATATTGTAAGCGTTTTAAAAATTTGTGGCAAAATAAAGCTCAAGAAACTACAAAGAATAAAATAGCAATACTCAAAGAAAGGAAATAATTACTATATGAAATAGAAAATCTAAATAAAATAATTTTAAAAAAATTGAAAGTTTTAATTAAAAAAAAATTTTTGTCAAAAAAATATTATACCTAAATATTTTTCTTTTTTTTGTTTTTGTTTTTTTTAGGGCATTTGATATTTTTCACTACCAAATTTAATACAAGAGGAGGAAAAAAGCAGATAAGAATATAATGAAAACAAAAGCATTTTTTTAATTTATAATTTATTAGCAGCTTTTATCAGTGTAAGGAAATACTTTATTATTTGCCCTAGAAATAAGGACAATTTTAAAAATTATTTTTCAAATGTTTTTGCTAAATTCAACTGTTTTTATCAATGCACAGGAAAGCAAGAAAACTAATCATTATTTATTTGTAAAATATTTTTGTTTTTTAACTAGTTTTTCATGTAAAATAATAAAAAGTCCATAACATAAATGTTTAAATATAAAATATTTGGTTGTTTTCACTACCCCCATTGAAATAATCTGCACTTTCATTGGATTCTCCAAATTGTGCATTTAAACTGGATAGTTTATTTCCTGATAAACTTTTGTTATTGATGCTCCAAAAGCTTGCGGACAAAAAAGCTTGCCTTGTTAATTTACTGAACTTTTTTAGCGAAATTTTTAGGAGCCTATTTAAAACATTTTTTTTCAGTTAATAAATACATTTTTTCAAACAGAGAAATTGTTATGTTCATTATCTCTAGTAATTTATATTAATCTTGAAAAATGGGCAATATAAAGGAAACAATTTCAGACAGGCATCAAACATTGTAAATACATTTAAAACATTTGATGCCTGGTACTCTTTTATTTAATTTTTTCCGTCATTACAAAATTTATTAATCAAATAATATATGTTACAAATAATGTAAATTTATTGTAAAATTTTTTACAAACATTGTAAACACATTTATAAAAGAAATCATGGTACTTTCTGAGTATCCTATCATTAAGTTTATTTAAGTTATTAAGTATTGAGAAAAAATATGAAATATAGAAAAAATATTTTTAAAAGATAAAAGATGTGAAAACGAATAAACGTAAGAAAAAAAATTAACAGAGTTTCTGATAGTTCTAGCGTACATAGCAAATTAGTTTCTTAAAAACCTTAAATTGCATATCAAAACTTTTAATACACGGGTTTATAGTCTCAGATCCTTTCTGTAAATTACCACAAAATCATTTAGTAAGGTAAATATTTCGAATTTAAGTTAGTGATAAATTTGACTAAGAAAGATATTTAGTGTTTTAAAGATATTTAGTGTTTTAAAGATATTTAGTGTTAAGGACCGGCGAATATTCGTTAAAATTCGGCTTACGAAGTTTACTGAAAGGCGAAGTTGACTTCGGCTTTGACTTCGGTGCCGAATTTGAAATAGAAATTTGGCTTTCAGTTAAATTCGGTAACATTTGCAAAATTTCATTTAACTTTCAGTTAAATGCGAAAGTCATTTTTTAATTTTTATTAAAAAATAACTTTTTCGAATTTTAATAATAGTTATTTTTTTTATTTTTTTCAGAAAAACAATTCATCACTTATTAAATTTTACTTTCAAAAAATCCTCAAGTTAAAAAAAGGAAAATATTTTACATTCTTCACGATCTTTTTCCTATTCAAAATTGACTTTTGAAATTTTTCAAATAACGCCGTTTATTCTTTTGTTAACTTTTGTTTAAGATTTATAAAGATTGCATAAATTAAGTTCTCATTATTGCAGCGTTTTTAGATAATACATTTATTTTTTTCAACGCAAGTTGTTGTTTTTTGTAAACATATATTTTTTGTTTCAATAAATAAAAAATTACTTTGTTTCACTTGTGTTTTGTCATGCTTTGAAATACGTTTAATAAAGAGCTAAAAAATAATAATTTTGGTTTACAAAAAAAGATTATTTGAAAACTTTCATTGATTTAAAAAAAACAATTTAACGGTTAAACTAATTAATTGGTTCGCAATTAAATTAATCGGTTCGCAAAAAAGTTCGCTGTCCAAGTTTGTTTTTTTGTTTTGTTTTTTCAAAGTTTTTAGTTTTTGTTAATTTATACAAATTTTTTTATTTAATTATATGTTAAATACCCGATGAAAATAAGCGATCGAAAGGAACAATAATTAAAAAGTAAGCACAAAGACATTAACAAACAGTTTGAGGAGAAGAAAAAGAGAGTTGCTGCAGAAGAGCTTGCTAGTACAACAAAAAGATCCAAAAGTAGTGTTGGTCTTTCCATTCAACCATCAATTACAGAATTCATAGTACAAAAGAAATCTTATGCAAACAATGATACCCAACAAGTCAGATTTGACAATAATCTGACAGCTATGCTTTGCAGAACCAACACTCCATTCAATATTGTCTCCACTGCAGGTTTTGTTGATTTCATCAAGTCGATTGACTCTAGGGTTGTTGTTAAAGATGCAACCAACTATTACAGAAAGTATCTACCAGAACTTTATGAAAAAGTTAAGAAAAGTGTCGTTGCTGACTTTGCTAAATATATTCCAACACTAACTGGTATAGCATTCACTACTGATATGTGGACAAGCAGAAACAATGATGCTTTCAGTGCATTAACTTGCCATTACATTTCACAAGAATTTGAACTTAAATCATTCCTTGTTGGAATGGAACCATTCAGGGATGAAAGACACACTGGGAAAGTAATTGCCATTCAGTTAGATGCCCTGATTGACACCCTCAATCTGCTTCCAAAGGAACAAACACACAGGTAATTGCTTCAAATTTCAATCACATTTTGTTTAACTTCAAATTTACTTTTTCATGAACCTAATGCTTTTAAGTTCGCATTTTCCATTTTGTTACCAAACAACTTTAAAAAAATAAAATATAATTTATGTTTTAATTTTATGTAACATTTGTTTAAATTTTTTAAGAACCAACATCTTTCTGTTAAAGTTTGTATTTTGTTTATGGTCATTTAAAGTTTAGACGAACTAAACATTTTTGTTATCATTTTGTTTAGTTTTATAATAATAATAATAATAACAAGTAATAATAATACTCATAATATTTTTTGTTCGTAATTTTTCAGATGGTACGTCAATGACAGAGGTGCAAATATTATCTTGGCAGTTGAAAAAAGCTTGCAGTTACAAACAGAAATTATATGTGCTGATCACACTTTACACTTGATAGTGACAAAAAGCATTGCTAGCGTGAAACTGATCAAAGAGTCTGTCGAAAAATGTGGTGAGTTGGCTGCTCATCTGCACAGAAGCACATTGTCATGTACCAAACTCAAAAAAGTTTGTGCTTAAAAATCACCTACAAAAAAGTTATTTTGCCTTGCAAGACTAGATGGAACAGTCAGTTTTTGAGTGTGAAGTCAGTCCTTGACATCCGGGAGGGTCTTGAAATGTTAGTCCAAGAAGGACACCCGTTTGAGGACAAAGTTCCATCTCACACTCAGTTTCAGATCTTAAAGAAGATTTTGCCTGTTCTTCAAAAGTTCTATGATTTTTCTGTCAAAATATCTGCTGACAAAATACCCACAGTCCATCAAATGATCCCAGGCATCTTCAATTTGCACAGGTAATTTTTGATCTTATATTTTAAATCATTTTAACTTGTTTGTTTTATATTTTTATAAACCTGAAATTAGATGTGCGTTATTTAAAACTAAATTAACTTTTCGTTCACATTTGTTTTGCTATTTTTTATCTTCATGAAATTGGGTACATATGCATTTACTTATTTACTATTCTATGTGCTTATAGCTATGTCAATATCAGACTTGCTGACCAAAAGAATGAAGAATATATGAAACAGTTAGCAACGCCAATGGATGAGCAAATTACAAAATACTATAAAGAAGATGGCATGGAGAACACCACCTATGCGATTGCTCACATGCTAGACCCAGTCTTCCAAGGCAAACTACTTAAAACAAAGCATGACAGATATGAAATGACCAAAACATGCATTCAAATTGAGCATCATCTAGACTCATCTGTTAAGGAAATTGACTCACCTTTACTTCTGGAGCAAGCACCTACTAATATTCTAGATTCTGACGAGATTGACTTCTCCTACCAAACCCTGGCTACACTAACTCAGGATGATCTTAGTTTCAAATCAAAATTTAAAAACATTTCTGACATTCAAGCAGAACTAGAAAAATATCTTTCATTACCATTGTTAGCAAAAGAAACTGATGTTTTACAGTGGTGGAAGAGCATGGCACCACAATATCCAAAGCTGGCATCCATTTTCAGGAAAATATATTCCATTCCATGTTCATCAGCTTCTTCAGAAAGAGTCTTTTCTGCAGCTGGGCAAGTTGTCACTTGGACCCGAACCAATCTTAACAACAACAATGTAGAAAAGCTTGTCTACATTACACAGAACTATCCAAAAGTGCAAAAATATTTAAAATTATAAGATAAAGTTTAAGGTTTTAACTTGTAATATTTTCTGCTATTTGCTAAAGATCAATCTACTTGCATTTTTTAAATTATCAAATTGCATTCTTAAAATTATTAAATGCATGTTAATTTGGCTAATGCATGTTAAGTTAAGCTAATGCAAGGTAATGGATGATAACGCAGTCTTGGTGCAGTGGTTAGAATTCTGGATCAGATCCCAGAGATCCGAGTTTCGAGGTCCAATAAGCGAAATTGAAAAGGAAGGAGGCGTGAACTTCCTAGTTAAATGCTCCTCCGCGGTACTCTGTGGTAAAACTGTTAGGACTTAAGGAAGTACTTTAATAACTACAAAAAAAAAAACAAAAAAAAAACAGTTAAAACTCAACATAAAAGTCCAAATTTCTTTTTCAATTACATGTGTTTTTGAAATCCAAATTCGGCTCTCAGTTAAATTCGGTTAAAAGGTCCAAATTTGTCTTTCAGTTAAATTCGGGGTACTGTTATAGCCTAAATTTGTCTTCCAGTTAAATTCGGTGTTTACATATGGTCTAAATTCGTATTTCAGTTAAATTCAGGTCTTGAAAAGTCGACTTCGCCGGTCCTTATTTTGTGATTTAAAGATATTTAGTGTTTCAAAGATATTTAGTGTTTTAAAGATATTTAGTGTTTTAAAGATATTTAGTGTTTTAAAGATATTTAGTGTTTTAAAGATATTTAGTGTTTTAAAGATATTTAGTGTTAAAAATTTTTATATCAGTTCCTCAGATTTTTTCTTAAAATTTTTTCTCAAATTGAGAAGAAATTTTAATAAAAAATAAAATATAAAAGTTTACTTTTCTAAACAATTTTGAGATAATTTGCAGGACGGAACTGAGACTATAAATCTGTGTATTGTTATCATAAAATTGTTGTTAAAAAATATGTTTTTTTCCTCGAGTTGTATTAAAATCAGTAGCTAAAAATAACAACTACCCTAAAAAAAAGAATAAAAAAGTTTTATCAAAATTTAATAAAATTTTTTTTTTTTTAATTTTCTTTTTTAAATTAAGTTTTGCTAGTTCATTTAATTAAAATTTGATATTTCGTTACAACTTTGTTTCCTTTTTTTAGCATGGTTTTTTTTTTCAGTAGATAAGTTTAGCTTTTTTGCCGCAAATTATTGAAACGCTTTAAAAGTTATAAAATGGGAACTGCCATGGTCAGTGTTTAAAAAAATTACTTTAAATGCGGATGAACAAGGCATGCGACTGCAGGCAATTCCTGTGAAGGCTATTATAGTATTCGTCATTTGTCCAAGGTGACATAACCATGTAAAATTTTAAAAATAATTTAATAATAATTTTAATTTAAAGGAATCCAAAAGCCCTGAGATAAGTTGTGTTCATATCTTAAAAAAGTAAATTAAGAGTTTATTAAACTTACAAAAACAAATAGTTTATTGAGATATTACCAACAAAGTTTTTCATTTTTGTTGTTTTTCATGAAGGAAAGCTCCAGCTTGTTGATTTTTCTTTCAAAAAAAATATGGTATGATTAAAGTGCTTCGATGTCAATAAAAATAAGTGTTGTTTTTAAAGTAAATTTTAATGTTTCGTAATTTCCTACTTTTAATATGTTAAGTATAAAAAAAAATATTTTTAAAGATCTTTAATGATAAATTGCATAAATGCAATTATTAATAGATTTATTAACTATGAATTTAAGAATTATTTGGTATTTATTAAACTGTTAGTTTAATGGAGTGAGTACAGCTGCGGGTTGTTAAAAACAAGTCACTTTAATAAAATCAATCAAAAATAATATTTTTGGATTAAGTGAAAAATACTAATATTTGAGAACTTTTCAAATTTTCTCAAATTTTCTCAAAATTTCTAAGAATTGAAATACTTTGTGTTTCAGTTCTTAGAAATTTAAAAAACAGAAATAACATGAATAAGATTATCTCTAAACTTATTTTTAATAGATTTTTTAATATATGAACGCAACTTGTCTCATCACTGTCACTCACATTTACATTATTCGAGATATCTTAAACTTTATTTCAATTTTAACTTAACTTTAATTTTTACCACAAGAAAATACATTAAAGTAACAAAAGTTTGACAATAAAGTAGATATGGAACTGTGTCAAAGTTTAAAATTTTTGATTATTTAGCAATTTTGATATAAAATACTATTACAAAATTGTGATCACCTTTTTTTATTTAATCCTTTATTCAATCTGTTAAGTAATTTGATATGGAATGACCCAGCAGTGATAAAACAACAACAACAGCCATATAAACTACAATTTGTAAATTTTCAAGAAGGAATCTTCTCACATATCAAGTTTATATCTTATTCATATTATCACATACCTTGCTGTTGAAAACTTCTCTTTTTGTAGCCAGGAACATTTCAACATATGGCAAGACTGAAGCAAAAATTAAAAATCCACTTATGACAAAGTTAAAAATCCATTTAAGACAAAGTTCCACAAGAAAAAAGACAGAATGTTGGCAGCAAAAGTCAGAATGCTGATAGAAAAGGTCAGAATGCTGGCAGCAAAAGACAGAATGCTGGCAGCAAAAGACAGAATGCTGGAGGCAAATTTGTGCTATTCTATAAGTATCAGCATTGAAAAATAATTTTTAAAAAAGAAATCTAAGTTTTCACTAACAAGATCAATTAAAGAGAAAACTCTGCAAATTTTCTGCAGCTAATGCTGTTGAAAATAATCACTTTCTAATTAATCAAAGATTAATTAGAATGCTTGCATTTGGGGATAAAAACAGACAAGAAGAATTTCCTTGGCACCTTGAAAAATCATCAAAAAGTCTTAAATTCAGAAAAAAAATCAGGTAAAAATAAAGATTGACAATCAACCTGTTAGCACTTTAGGCAGAAAAAAAGGAAATTATGAACAAAAGACATGCACAAAGCTCTTTCCAGTTGTACAAAACCTAAAGTTATCAATTCTACAATAGTTTCTGAAAGGCTACCTTGAAATATTTTCAATGAGCCTTAGTGGTTATCAAGGCTCAAATTAAGTGATCGTGAATTGCAATATCCAAAAATATTTCTTGCCATTAAATTCTTAGTTCATTAAAAATTGCAAACACTGCTTTAAATCAACTTATCATATTAACGAAAAAACAAAAGAATAAATTTACTACTGCAAAAATAATAACAGTCAAAACTTACATATTTTTAAGGATTATAAATTAAAAAAAAGTTATAAGAAAAAAATAATTATTACTAAAGGTCTGGAATATTCGCGTGGTAATTTAAAAATCAACCAATAAAAAATTGTGCTAAAGCTATTTGGTCCATTGTATGAAACAATAAAATCGATTTTTGTTTAGAGGAAAGTTTCAGGAATTATTTATTTAAAAATTTAGATTTTTTAAATTAAAAACTAATTAATTGATAATAAAAATAATAACAAAATAATATATTTCAAAATAATTCATCAGAGTTTTTTTTGTTTTGTTCTTAAATAACTATAAAAAGTTTAAATTAGTTTTTAAATATTTATAAACTTCTCTGTCTTTAATTTGGTGTATACATATCTGCAAAAAAGTTATAAACATTTATTTTAAAAGAAAATATAGAATAAGTTTTAAATAAGATATTAAAGTATTTTATATCTTGTTTAATGACTTCTCTTATTTAAAATATTCACCGCTAAATTCCTTTAGACTGTTGTGATTAATTATTTATAATAATTATATTAAACATTATCATGCTTTATTTTTTTAGTTTTATCTGATGATTTATAAAATTAATTAAAATATTAAAGTTTAAATCAAATCTTTAATAATAATAAAAATAATAGTAATAATATGGTTTAACAATAAGATTTTATATCATAATTCAAAAAATGTCCCTAGTAGCACAGTGCTCAACTTTTTGAGCACTGTGCTACTTGGGGCATGTTGGTTAATTCTCATAAAAAGGTACATTATACCTTTACATGTCAATATGTCAATAGTTCTTTACATGTCAATATGTCAATAGTTCTCTCCATGTCAATATGTCAATAGTTCTGGTTTTTATATAAGTTAGCAGTTAAAGTGAATAAATATTTAAAAAAAATAAATATAAATATCTTTATTGCAACAATTTATAGTTGATTATTTTTTTAACGACTTTTTTAAAGTTTTTAAATACAAAAAATTATACTTTTTTTAATATCAACACATTCCTATATAAAGAAAACAAAAATTGAAATTAATTGCAATAAATTGTTTGGATTTATTGCAATTAATTTTGTTTTCTTTTTGTAACAAACTACTCTAAATAAACTTTATAAATTTTTCAGTCATTTAATTATGAAGTTAATTGTGGCATTCTCATAAATGCAATACGCGTTAAGGTCTCTAGTCTATAATAAAATCCTGTCAAACCCATATTTATATACTACTCTGTTTTCTGTTTTTACTTTCTAGTAGTTTTTTATTTCTTGTTGTCTATCGAAAAAAACTATACCTTAATAGTTACATTTCCTTTTGTAACTTTTCTCATGTTAAAACCAACAGTTGGAATCATATCTTCACAAAATTGACCAGACTAAATATACAAATTTGAATAAAAAAATACAGTAGAAATCACATATTAAAGAAATTGCATTGTACTTAATAACTTCTATAATAACTTTTAAACGAAACATTTTAGTGATAAACCTTAAGCTATTTATTGATAGACTTTTTGATAAAAGCTAATAAAATTAAAATTTATGATACGCAATTTTCTATCAAAAAGAATGAAACAACACTTAAAAAGTAGTTAAAAGAACAGTTTATTTTCTGTTTGATATTTTTTGTATCTGCCATTTAAATTCTTGAAGTTTTTTTTATTATAAACATTTTTTTTTCCCACTGGTTTTTTTTAATTATTGAAGTATTATCAGATTATCAAAACATCAGCCTGTTTTTATTAATTTACCGATTTTCCAATGATGACATTTCAATATTTTTATCCTGCATTATGATAATAATTGAATAATAAATAATCTAAATTTTATGCATAACTTAAATTTTTTTTGAAATATTGTTTATATTGATTTTGTTTACAAGCAAACTTGTTTATTAATAAGATGATGTTTAGACACTTTAATTTAACAGCTGAATGTATTTATACTTTTATTATTGGGAGTGTAACTTAATTCTTACAATTTATTTTATTGTGAAAAAATGGTTATACATTTGATGTTCAAAGTATTGTCTATCGGAAGCTACGATTCGATTCGTTCTGGCAGATTGTGGATTCCATCCCAAAAGAACTTCTTCAGCTTGGCGGCCAAGAACGAATCATACCAATTTTTGATACCATCAAATGAAGTGAAGCGTATTCCGGTGAGGGCATTCTGTATCGGAACAAGTGGTAGTCAGAAAGGGCTGTGTCTGGGCTATAAGGCAGGTGAGGTAGAAATTCCCAGCCAGTGTTTTCAAAATAATTTTTAACCGGTCTTGCAACATGAGGCCGAGCATTGTCATGGTGGAAAATTATGTCACAAATTCTGGACGTTTTTCCACGATTTCTCTCTTCAAACGCATCAATTGTATTTGGTAGAAATCCCCTGTTATCGTTTGGCTCGATTTCAACAGCTCATAATAGAGCGCTCCCTTCTGATCCAAAAAAAATACAGAGCATTACCTTTGCACCATGAATATTTGGCTTTGCCGTTGATTTTGATGGTTGCCAAGGCTCTGGCGCTTAGGGTTATCATAGTGAATCCATTTTTCATCACCAGTAACAATCTGATGCTAAAACGACATCCTTTGATGGCGTTAAAGCAGTATTTGCAACATGCAAAATCGCCTTTCAATGGCTCTCGGCTTTAATTCGTGCGACACCCAATTTCCAAGCTTTTAAATGAATCCCAATCCTTTTAAACGTTTTGAAATGGCTGCTCGAGTGACTTCCGATGATTTTGCAAGTTCTTCTTGCGTTTGACATGAATTTTCTTCGAGCAATGCAATTCTTCATCTTTAAACTTTTTTGGCTGTCCGGGTCATTCTTCATCTTCCAAGTTGAAATTGCCACTTTGAAACGGTGCAAACAACTTCTGACTCATTCTTTCAGCTAGAGCATGATCCTCATAAACTTCCACTAAAATACAATGACTTTCAGCAGCACTTTTCTTCATATTGAAGTAATCAAGAAGAACACCCCACAAAAACACTTTATCTGGCAAAGTTCAACATTTTCAAATAAAAAAAATTGTTGTTTATGCTTTAACCAAAAGACATATACTGAAAAAGATAAGCAATGACAGTAGCTTCCAAATGAATATAATCACATATGATTGCGATGCGAAATAAAACTAGTAACGTCATCTCTTAGAAAACTGCACAAATTTAGTTACACTCCCAATACTTTTATGTTGTTTTTAGAACAATTTTATTTTGTGTTGTTCTATTGTTATACTTAAAAGTAACCTAAGTATTGTTATTTATATAAATTCAAGTATTTCCTTCTATATTTCTATATGATGTATTGTTTAGATATCTAAATTACTAATAAGTTAATAAAGTTACAGAATCAAATATTTATTCAGAATGGAAGCAGTTTTGTTTGGAAAAGGTTTTTCAATAAAATCACGTAGTTGGGTGTGAAAATATTTGACTAATTCTCCTGAAGGTGCCTCAATTGCAATATGTAGCACATGCAAACTGAAGATTACAAGAGGTAACAAAGAAAAAATCCTTTAACACAACAAATATGTTGTCTCATATTAATACAAAACATAAAGAAATAACATAGAGTTGAAACTTAATGAAGAAAACAAAAGGAGAGCAGAAAGTGAACAAAATGTGCTCAAGAAAATCAAGTCAACTGATGCAAGTTGCTCAAAACAGTCTCAACCAATTTTGTTTGAAACAGTTGAGAGAAAAAAGCCCTGGTACATTAATAACCACAGGTCTAAATTAATTAATAACTATATTGCAGAAATGATTGCATTTGATATTCAACCTTTTTCTATAGTAGAAGACATTTTTCTATAGTAAAAATTTCAAAGATTGCTAAACCATAAATAAAAACTGTTTTTCAAAATATATACAACTAAGTCAGACAAAATATCCAAAAAGAAATAAAAGATGCTTCATACATTTCAATTACAACTGATGGATAGACATGGATAGACCAACAAAAAATGTTTATTTCTTAGCTTGACAACTCATTGGTTAACTAATGAATTCCATCAAAAATCTGCAATTCTTTGAGTTTGTCAACTTAATGTATTGCATACTGCCAAAAATATATGTGAAACAATTCAAAGTTGAATGACTTTCTTATTCCAGCTTCAAAGGTACATTTAGTCACTATCCGATATATCTAGTTGATATATTTAGTCGCTAAATATATCTAATATATCTACTAAATATATCTAATTGATATATTTAGTCGCTAGTTGCTAGAGATATATCCGATATATAGTTGTTGATGCATTTTTACGATAATCGTAAAAATGCAACAAGATAGTCCTATAGTTTGGTGGGGAGAAAATATAAACAACTTTAACCAATTAGCTCCAATAGCTCAGATATATTTATCATGTCCTCCATCTTCTGTTGAAAGTGAACGGTTGTTCAGTTGTGGAGAACAAGTTTATTCTTTACGACAAAATAGTAAGAAACCGGAGAATAACTCTGGAAACAGGAGAAATGGTTGTTTTTACATTACAATATTCGTATACACAATTTCAAATACTAAACATTGTTACAACTGCTATTAGTGTTTTTTTTAGAATCTTAAAGTTATTATTTTTTTTGGTATTTGATTTTAAAGTTTTTTATTTTATTTCATTTTGAAAAAAGTATATATTTATAAAAAAAATTTAAAATTGTTTTTATAAAGAATTTAAAATTTTTCACTTTAAAATTGAAAAAATAAGCGTTTTTATTGTATTTATTTTTTGAAAGTTTTCTTTTCATAGTTAAAAAAAATATATTAAAAAATGTATACTATTTTAATTAAGCGCTTCTAATATATAAATCACGATTTAAAATTGTATGATTTTATATTTTTAAATTTTAATAATTAGTTAATCCATCAGTATCATCATTTTTTGTATATAGTTTTTTTTTATTTATATATAATTTATGATTGTTACTCTTTAAAAAAAAATTAAAAAAAGAAAAAAGAAAAGAAACTTAAAAAATGTTGTTTAAACAAAACATATAATGGTTTAAAAAAGTGTTAAATTTTATTTTACTTGATTTAAACTATTATTAGAGGTTTAAATAACATTTTTTTTTTTGATTTTTATTTTAGCTGAGTAATAATTTTATTTTTTGTGCTTTATCTCCCAGAAATTCTTACATCAAAGGTGGCATTGTTCGCTGATGACAATACCATTTATTCTTGTCTTGATAAGAAGCCAACACTCTCTGATTGCTTGGTGGGGGCATTTGAGCTTAAAAAAGATCTCACCTCTACTACAGCATGAAGCTCTCAGTTGCTAGTGAACTTAAACTCAAATAAAACTCAATTTTCAAGCTATTTATTATTGCAATAATCTAGATCATTTACTTGCTCATTTCATTTTGATAGGAGAACAAAAATATCGCAGAGATAAATGGCCTAGGCAACATTTTGGTTTGTCTAGGTAGATAAAACTAGAAAAAAAGTTCACACTGTTTACATAAAAATAAAAAAGATTCAGAGTATATTATAAAGTGATCAACGTCTTTTTATATAATTTTTATATTTAGAAGAATACCATAAAAATCCTAATTTTATTTGGCTCTTGCACTTTAAAAAAAAAAAAAAATCCTATAATGGCATCATTTTTTATACTGAAACAAGAATTAAACATGCTTGAATAAATTCAGTATATTGCATCAAAACAAGTGCATATATTTAAAAAACTTAAAATTCTGACTAAAATGGAAAAGGCGGAATTTGTCTAACGCTACAAATTAGTTTTTTTGGTATACATTTATTATTTAATCAAAAAAATTAGGCTCAGACATTTTTTTTAAACATTCTCTTTAATACAAACACAACTTCTTTTCGCATTAGGAGATCCTTTTAACTGTCTATTAATTTCTTATCAACTTTTAATGAACTATTTTTAATAGCGATTATAAACAATTTATAGATAATACAAATTATAGATAATACCATTAATATATTTATGTCATAAATAAAACTTATGTCATAAAAACCTTTTATGATTTTCAATAAGACTGAGTTAGTAATAAACAAAATATTCAATTATTTAAATCACAAGAATTTCTTAAATAATTGTAACAACAAATAAAAAATGTATTTGAATATATAATTCATAAAGATTGTCTGCATATATCATTTTCATAATTATTTAATTTTAATATAATTTGTAGCTACATGTGTCTTTTTTTGCTAAAAATGCGCATACAAATTTCTTGTACGGTATTTAGGAAAAAAAAAAATTCAAACTTAATTTGAGAATTCACTCTTTAAGAAAATAATTAAATTTTTTTTTTTACCTTATTTTTTCAATCTAAGATCATTAACTCTGTAACTTGTTTTCACAATAACCTTAAATACTTATCTTCAGTCCTTGATTTGTGTCTTGTCTCTTGTAGATTGTACAAATTTTATCTTTTTTTCTTTAGGTGGCTCATTATTTGGATAGCAAAACAGCCCTGTATTGTTCCTCGTCTATATTATTGATCTTCATTATAATCTTACCTTTAAAGTGTTGATCATTTAGAAAAGACAGATAATCTTGAATTTGTTCTCTCTTCAGTGACAGCTTTAAGCTTGCAATGGGTGGTGAACGCAAACAAAACTCAGTAGTTTACTGCTAATAATTATGACAATATTGTCATAATTATTAATAAAAGTTAAAGTCTATTAACAATTCCTATATTTTATTTTTACACTCTTATTGAGTCCTCTGTTTAATGCCTTTTTAAATTTTTACATCAATCAAAACTCAATGTATGACTCATCATTCAGCTTAGTTTTTAAGTTTTTTTTAATTGTTGTAACTTGTTATAATACTATAACTCCTATTCTTATACAAAAACTATACTATACTCTAAACTATTTTTTATACAAATTAGTAATTGTTTATAACCTTGTTGGGAGTGAATCTGTTTTTAAGTAAATAAAAAGTATATTAGATTATGGCTGTAATGCCTTTTATTTCAAATCAACTATGTTAAATCAAAAAGTGAATAGCCATAACTCAGCAATTCTAAAATGGATAAAAGAAATTTATAGATTTCGAAAACTGTTCACTAAAGGCAAAAAAAATATGCTAAAAATAAACAAATAATACACACTGGAATTTTCAGCAAATAATTATAAATTTCATTTGGAAATATATAAAGAATAAATGATTTGCCATTTTCAGTGTTCTATATTTAATTATTTTCATGACAATGTTAAGAAGTTGAGATACACCATTTCTCTGGTGTATCTCATAGTTTTTTTTATGTCATTTGTCTGGTTCATTTATGCTGTTAACTAAAAAAACATTTATAAAGCAGTAAAGATTTTTTTACAATTAAGCTAACACGACTGATCACCTGTATTTAAATAAGTAGAATAACCTAAAACTAATGCTAACGATCAAGAAAACTCTTTAGATTTTTTGTATACTTAAAATAGTTAAAATATTTTTTAAAAATTTTAGTTTTCTATCTATTTTTTTCAGTGTGATGTATTAAAAATAATTAAGTGTCTTCAAAACAGTAAAAATAACTTGTAAAACTTTTTCACTATGAAATACAAACTTGAACTTAGTAAAATTTGATATTTATTTTTACTGAGTTCAAGTATTTTAAAACTAGGAAGTAAAATACAATAATAATAAATTTGCAGAAGTCGAAAAAATCAGTTAGCCCAATAGTGTCTTATTTATATTGAAAAGCTTATATCAGAACCCAGAACTAGATTTTATCAAAATAAAAGTTTTCAATCATAACACTATATCAAAACAAAAATTCAGCCATAACACCAAGATTTGCATGTGTCTTTGAGACTTAAATTATTTCTGTTTTTGATGCATATATATACTGAAATGTATATATATGAAATGTATATATATGTTCATATAATTTACTAAAAAAAACTAAATTAAAGAAAAAACAACTAATTCTGATCATTTATTAAACGAAAATAAATTTTAAATTATCAATAACAGACAAACTTACAGCAATAACATTTACAAACGTAGTTTTTCCAGAATACTGTAACCCAACTAGCGTTAGTTCCATTTCTTCCTTCCAAAAAAGGCTTTTAATCCAATCAATAAATCTCTGAAATATTCCTGCCATTATACACTGATTTAAAAAAAAATTGAGAAAGATGTGCAAAAAACAAAGTTGGCAGCGAACACTGATTCGACTTTGTTTTGATTAAATGTCGACTTCAATCCGCTATGCCGTTACCGAATAACACTTTCCCCCTCCTTTCCCGTTCTTTCCCTTTACCCCAGCGGTAATCATTCCATGGCAGCGGTACTTATCTCAAAATCTGCGGGTCACATATGTCTCGGTAAGCTTTTTCAAGTGGCTCGGAAGGGTATTTATTTTTATTACTTATCATTATTATTATTTTTTAATCAAATTTACTTCCAACAAGGTTGCAAGCAACCACTATTAAGTTGGGAGTTACTAAGTGAAAAAGATAAAATTTTATTAGAATAAATGTTAGGTGAATTATTATCAAAACAATTGAACAGGTTTCCGGTATAAAAGCAGGTAATAAAGAGATTCTAGTCACTGATCACGTGTATATCCTATACCGTATAAAATGTATACCATTTGTAATATATGTATATCAAATGTATAACATGGCAGTATTGGGATAATTTGTATTATTTATGAAAAAAAAAAATTGGAGTTATTCGTTTAAAAATGTATTCCATTTTAGTGGAGTTATTTGTTTTATATAAAGGGTTCAATAAAAAGTTCGCAATATAAATATTATCTGGTGAATAATAATAATCTTTTGTATTTTTCTGGGGGAAGTTAAATTAAAGTGAAGAGCAAACATAGAAAACATCGAAGGGGTAGTTTATAAAGATTAAAATAAGGAACAAAGTGGTCTAAATGATATTGTGATTTAGTGTCAGAAGAAGTTGTGGCTGAGTGTTACTCACCTCTCCTTGTTGTGTTAGAGGAAAAGAAATGTTAAAGGCTCAAGAGCCCTAATACTAAAAATTTCTATATAAGGTTCGCAACTTGAACAAGTTTAGTCACTAATGGATCATTATAGCCATAAATGCCTAAGAGAAAAGAAGTGATTGATTATAAGAGAAAAAGTGTTAGTCTATTAGTTATTTTGAACATATGTTCAGTACAGGAAAAAGCTAACAGTATATCTGTCTTATTACATAATTTGTTTTTTTTTTCGTGTTTTATTATTATTATTATTATTATTGTTATTATTATTATTATTATTATTATTGCTATTATTATTATTATTTTCAAAGCCAAAATCATGACCAAGTTATACGCATTTTGTGATTATTATATTTTGCAGCTAGAGATAAAAATCAAGGCAGTATGATACAGTTTCTTGTTTTCTATTTAATTTATCTAGTTAAATAGAATTGTTCGTGTTATGTTTAATTTCCATTTAGTTACTATGGTTTCATGCGCTTCTTCGTTTTATATTTATATTATAACTAATTTTTATATATTTTAGTACGAAGATCCGTTTTAATTTAGTTTATACGGTTATTAATTTAATAGTTTGTTTTATATTTAGTTTCAACTTAGTGAGGGTATCAGCAGCAAAGAGTCCTTGTTGCCAATAGATCAATAATTTGAGGAGTTTGGTTATCCGACTGACCGTTCGTTGGCTGACGTGGCGACCCTACCTCAATGTTTTTAATTAAAACTTCAAGATTTGCCTATCCTATAAAATGCCAAATATTTAAAAAGTATTACAAGTTTAACCACCTACTTAATCAAAATAACGAAAGAATACCGTAAAACCCCCTAATCCCGGATGGTTCAGGACTTAAATAAGACATAGACACGGAAGCAATCGGACGTGTTTTTTTCTGCTAATAAAAAATTTTTTTTCTCATAATTTTTTTTTTTTTAAATTTTTTTATCAAAATTAAAATTAAAATGAGCAATGCTGATGTTGTTTCAATGGTAATGGTAAGAGAGCTTCTGAACTTACTAAAAGAGACGATCTTGTCGTTTTTTACAGAAACAGTTAAAATGATTAATATAAAGTTTGATTCAGTTCAAAAAAACATTCAAGAAGTAAGGAAGGATCTTGGCGATATCAAAGCTGGCTTGACATTCGTTAGTGATGCCTGCGACGATAAGGTTAAAAGTGTAAATGAAAAAATTAGTAAAGTTAAAGAAGAGTTATCCAGCGTAAAGATAATACAGGGAAAAATTTCGACAGACAACAACGACCTAAAACTAAAATCTGTTGATGCAGAGGATCGAAATCGAAGAAACAACTTGCGTATTGAGGTTTGCCTGAGAGTAGCGATGAAAAAGATTGTGAAAAAACCAAAGAAAAAGTAAGGAAAATTATTTGCTGAAAATTTTAATATAAAAAGAGAAATCAAAATAGAACGAGCGCATAGAGTGGGAGTTTCGAACGAGAATCGCGAACGAACAATTGTTATGAAACTGCACGACTACGAGGACAAAAAAACGATCACTGATAATGCATCGAAGCTAAAAGGTACAAATATTTTTATTAACGAAGATTATTGTAGTACAACTAGAAAAGTTCGAAAAGAGTTTTTCGCTAACAAGAAAATTCATTGACAAAATGGTTATTATGCTAAAGTTGTGTATAATAAATTAATTGTCCTTGAATTTCAACAAAAAAACTCTAAAAGAACAGAAAATTTAATATCTCAAGGTGAATAGTTTATTTATTAATATATTAATAGTTATATTCTTTTATATTTACTATATTTAAAAAATGGATTCGAATAATGTTTTTAAACAAGGTTTTGAAAATATAAAATTTGACCCTTTTGAAGACAATTTATTAAATAACACAAATATTTTTCAAGAAATTCAAAGGAATTTAATGAAAACACCGTATTTTGATCCTTATGAATTTAAGGGGGAAAAAGAAATAGATTCATTTTCTATATTACATGTAAATATTAGGAGCATAAATCAAAACTTTGACAAGTTTAAAGAATTTTTAAATATTATAAATTACACGTTTGATGTCATATCCCCTACAGAGACTTGGCATAAAAATACACTTTAATTCTAATTACAGATTACCTAATTATAAGCTAATTAGTCAACCGCTAGGAAGTAATAAAAACGGAGGAGGCGTTGGTATATATGTTTTAGAGATTTATTCATACAAAATAAAAAATAAACTATGCTCAACAAATCTTAATTATGAAGTTCTATTCATTGAAATAATAAGTGACAAAAGTAAAAACATTGTATTTGGGTGCGTATCAATGCCCGATAAATATATGCAATTTTAGCCGCAAAGCATTGTGGGATGTCTTGCGGGACCAAGTAATCATAAACAACCCAACTCTTAGTGAAATATTTATACCTTAGCATTATTCTTACCAGAGGGCTTCCCATTAAAAAACTTTTCTTTTATAAATTAAAATAATTTTAAAACTATTTCATAACATTGCTTATATAACATTTATATATCATCTAACATTAATATGTTAACATTAATGACGCAGTTGTAAATTTGATGTAAATTTAGCATGTTTTGCATAAGTCATTTTAATCATGTTATCACTGTATTTGTTTCATATTATTTTAAATAAATACTCCATATTAGTTTAAATATATAACCCTTAATTAGATGCTAAATATATAGTTAATAATGCTGAGAGAAAAAACAACAATAATAAATAAGAAATATATTGTTTCAAGAATTATCATTAAAATAAAATTAAGCATGGATAATGCGACCTAACTTGTTTTTACATGTCTTGTTTCGTGGTGCCAGATCACGATTATAAAACCTTATATAATAAGATATTCTCATATAAACATAGTGTCTGATTAAACTTTCTTCTAAATGAAAAGCTTGATCAATATGCTCATCATAAAGAAATGTAAAATTGCAATCGTTTTTTATTACTTTAATAATTTGTTGTATAATATTTTTTTTTGTTAATATAAGTTTCATTTGGGTTATAAAAACAGTTTCCATTTCTTGAAGTAGGTTTTGTAAAAAAGAATCAGAATTAAATAAGTTACTTTCACAGGGTGCCACACTTGAAAGAACTTGTACACATTTTTGACAGACTTGAACTTACTTTATCAAATCATCTGCAATTAATTTCAAATCCTGTTTAATTGACTGTGAAACTGAATCAGTCGAAACAGTCAAAACAGTCAATTAATGTAAATTTGTAATGTGTAAGGCTTTTGTTTCTTTTTACATAATGCAGTTGGATGTTTGAAAATCAATTGTTCATTTGCAGAAATTTGATTCTCAAATACTATATTGGTGATTGAGTCAATGGTAACTGCAGCTGAGAAATCTGATTCAGGGAGACAATTACTGTTAGAGTTAGATTGTTCTATTGAAAGGAGTACTAAGACATTTTTATATGCTGATTTAAACTGCATTGCTGTTGGTCTGTCATTCCAGTCTCCTTTGCTTCGTATTAATGCAAAAAAATTTTCTAAACAGTCCTGATTAAATTGAGCTGTGCAAACATAAAAAAAATCCTCATGAAGCAACTTGTTTACAAAACAAAGAATATTAGAAATAGTGACATCTAAACCCCAATGACTGGATATACTTTTTTGGCTGCGAGCACCAGAAAAATGCCAACCCTTAATCCAAACTCTTAAATCTTCAAGCTTTTGTATAAAACTACTATTTAGAGTTAAAGCAGAGCGTGTTGATTTATCTGCTTTTAGTTTCCAAGATGTCAAATAAAATATCCATATTTTTTAATAAAAAAGGCTGTTGACAAAACATTTTCAGACAATAGTTTTGCAGAAGCGTATTCAGTCAAAGCAGTAGCAACTTGACTACTAAAAATTTGTGTTTCCAATTTTAGTTGCATAGCTAATAGTGATCCTGGATCTAAATGACGATCTGTCAACTTTGGCACAAGTCGCACAGCATTAACTTTGTTTAAATTATGAAGTTCTTCCATATGCTTCCACAATATTATTTTACCATCAGATAAAATGTCATGTTTTATTAAATTGTTTCTAACATTTTTTATAAGATGTGGTGGATCAAATATTATATAAACTTTTGCTTGTGTAGTTGGATGTGAAATTTGTTGATTTAATAATGAAAATCCTAAAAATTTGAGAGCTATTATATTACTCAAGCTTTGATCACCAACAAGACATCTTACAGCTAAACCTATTTTATGTATATGAATCATACCAATCACGGTATTTACTCGTATTTTTAGTAAAGCA